AATCTTACCCTTCTGTTGAAGGCAATTTCTTGGGATAGTACATAAATATTTGCACAATGTGTTGAATCCTCGTTGATATTTTATTTTGAGTTCTTTTTGCAGGCCGTTTTAGGTTGATTTTAGGCCAGAAACCCAACTACATGCTCAAATTTCAGAGCCGCGAGTATGAATGGTCCAGGAACTGGTTTAAACCACACTCAGCAAGAGTAGGGGCCCACAGCAAATTTTTATACTATTTTACGCGATTTTTCAGCAGCGTGACGAGCCGCTGGACCTATTCGACACCAGCCTCCGTGACGTATGACCGCGACCGAATTTCGATATCGACAAGGGGGTGCGTGACGCGTGACTGTCGATTTGAATGTAATGGTACAGTAATTATTTCGCGCGACATTTTTTCCGCGCGCAACTTTTCGTTTTTCGCGCGCCTTTTTGAGATGCCGTCAAGATGCCGTCGGTGAGCCGATATGCCAGTATCGGCCGACCGTGCACGTGTCTTGATCTTCTCACGCGAGCCCACGCGTACATAACACCAAATATCGCGTCGGAAGGGCTTATAATTGATCGTGCGTGACCTGTAGTCATGTAAAATTAGCTCTGTCGGTCCAGGGAGACACTGTAACATGTCTTGTTCCCTCCTGCTCTGAATTCATATCTTGTATTCAAGGCTGGAAGCTGGCTTTAGTCGATCGACGAATTGAAACTGCCCTTTACTTGAAGAACCAATCGGTGAATCAGCCGGCAATCTTTTGGGTGGAACAACTGGGAGATTGCAAGCCGACCTGGCTCAAAGCTCTTAGTGATGTGAAAGGATGTGCAAATTTAAATTGCCGGATTAGGGTTGCGATGCACATGCAACGTAGTAGTTCTGAAAAAGGAAGCATGTCAAGCTAATTGGACGCGTTTCATGCAGCTAGATTGGGCAAACAATGTTTTGTTTGTAAAGATTTAACTTGCATGGTACATTGATAGAGTCCGGAAGTGAACTGCGATGTTGCCGAGATGCCGACGGGCCGTGTGGCCGTGAGGTATTTTACCCAAAAAGGCAATTTCCCACGGGGAGGGGGGGGGGTCGGCCGACCCTCAGAAAAAAAACTTTTGTAGGTGATATCTTTTTTCCTAATCTTTGGACCCCCTTGACTCATCCTGTATCTTCCCTTGTACCATCCCCACTGTATTCTGGCACATCCTAAGCCCATACCCTTCGGTAAATGACACCTGGGACACTGGAGGAACAGCTGGTCAAAAAGCGCGCGCGAAAACTTCAAAACTGTAGCGTGAAAACCGAAAGTTGCGTGCGAGACTGGTGCGAGAAGTCAAAAAACGACGCGCGAAACGAGGAAATATGCGCGCGAACGAAAATGTCGCGCGAAATAATTAATGTACAAAGTGAACGCCATAGGACAATGGTAGATTTGCACCACAGCAACCGAGTCAGAAAATGCTGCGTGTCAACGGATACGACAGGGGCCTTCTAACCGAATAAAGCCGACACATCACCACCGGCATCACCGCACCACAAACGGCCACGTCGACGAGCGCACCTCCCTCGATCACACCCCGCCGCCTCCCGCCCGCCCGAACGCCGCCTGCCGTCAAGACGGCCTTGACGAATCTGCCGGTCCCGCCCGTTGCCGCCACCTACAGTCTCCAGGAAACCCTCTCGATATCCCCACATCCACGCCGTAGCCTCAAACCGGGGTCACCGCCGCCAGCCGCTCTCATCCGTTCACGGCCGCCACGGCAGCCCAACCGCCCCGCCTTCGCCGGTTGCGCGCCACAGCGCCCGTCCCTTGCCGCGCACCCAACGCGTCTCCCTCGCTCCGTGCTGCCCTCCCGACCCGCCAAGAACCCGCTACGGCGAATGGAATGGGTGGATTGAGTTAGAAATATGGTGCGTAGCTACATTTTAACCGCCCTCCCACGCCATTTAATTCCCCCCCCCCTATCCTTCCCACCCTCCTCTATACCGTATCAACCCCGCCGACTGTTCGCGTTGCCCCTTTGCGGGACGATATTGTGTTCCGCGAGGATTTTAATATCGCCCGCCACTTTCTCCTCTCCTGCGCGCGCGCTGCTGTCTCAGTCGAGCACGATCCGTGGCTCGTCATTTGACGTGACCATCGCGTGCCCGTCTCGACGTGCATGTCGTCGCGGGCGGTCCCCTACTCACACACATATATGTTACATCCGGGTCATCCTCCAATACACTACAGTGACTACACCCTCCGCATCCCACCGTTCACTCCTTCCACCACCTTTCCTTTTCTCCATACTACTGTTCTGTGAACAGCGGCGTACCGATCTACCTATCCTTCGCGCACGCCGGTGCTGCATGTCCCGCAATCACGAGGATCGACATCGAAGATAGCGCGATGACCGCGCTTACAAGCAACGAAAGTCAAGACGCTTGTGTTCCTCCCGCCCGCCGTATGCTATTTCCTGATTGATACCAAGCTAATAAGGTGCATATGCAGCGTGCGAAATTGAAACAACGCCACCCGCGGCCGCGCGTACGACCTGCGCCGTGGCCCGACAGTGCATCAGGGCGCGTGCGTACTATGCATTTCTTCTTGCGTCAAGAGAGATGGATCTCTGCGCCCCGCCATCACTGTTGTCGGTTTTTTAATTGTTTTTTTTGTGTCGATCTTTATCCCTGCGATTAACGTTGTTCAGATGCCACTGGTGGAGATCCAGGCGACGTGACCAGCGCCCAGGACGTATTTTTCACGCCGAGATGCGAACAGTGAGTTCTCTCAGACAATACAATCTATCTACTGACGCCGCGTTCGTATGGTTTCCAGATTTAACGTTCACCATCCGCACTAGCTCGGTGCGTCCGTTAGCATCTGCGCTACACTCACCATGGTGGCGACCGACGTGTCTGAGTCACGCGCGCGTTCTGAGAGCATCTGCCGGCAGCAAGGGAGATTTACGCCCGAGCCCGGAGGTTCTTGAAGCAGGCGTCGATACGCGCCGGAGAACTGAGCGGAAGACTCATTCCCTATATTCGGTTTCGTTCAATCCTCACTCATTTTGTCCTTTCCGATTAAACCAATAGCGATACCAAAGGATTGTCTTCCCAGAGCAAGAATTGCTTTCGTTGAAATGGATCGATGCGCATGAAAATAATCAGCGCACGACTTACCGATCCTCGGGCAACGTTAACCATTTCGCAGTTGTCGGTGAGAAATGCCCCGCTCTGTCTTGGACCGCGGTCCCAATAATTCCAGTTCAAATTTGATGTTTTCTCATGTGTACTCCCATGCTTAAATCATGATCCACTAAAATCATCGATGGTTCTCGCGTACGGAAATGTCGGAGCAGATCCTGTAGGTTCACCCTCGGCGTACCAAGATCATCTGTCGTCGCAACGTACTAACCTCGGAGGCCCCACACAGCTCTTCCAATCTTACTCCGGTGCGCCGTCTTGTTCATTGCTGATGTGCTTTCCAATTCTTGAGGATCCTCCGCAACTTGAACAGAAATTCCGGTCTTACCTTCAACGTCAAACTTGGTACTCAACCTTCGGCGGCACGGTTCCTTCCGCATCACTATTTTCTGCTGGGGACTATCGACAATTAACCTTACTTCAAGCCCTCGCTCCTTCAGGTGTGTCAGTCTTCCCCCGTATACTTGTTTAATCCCGAACTACAACATTCTCAGGCTATCCTCACGCTAAATTGAACCTCAATTCATCTGAACTCGAGGACTCTTTCATTCTGGTCCGAACCCACCGAACACCATGAGATACCCCGACACAAAATTGCAACTCGCACACAATTTAAACCCAGGCCACCTTTCAATTTTCAACTAGGTACGTTCTCTCGTACCTCCTTCAGAATTTGTGCAGGGTTTCCTCCCGACCAACTGACCCCAACGCCGTTTGCCCCACCTCGCGCCGCTCACTTTCATTTGAGTTGACACCTGACCTTCTCGAACAGTTCAACATAACCCCGGCTTCACTCAATCTACTCCGATCGTATTGCTTTAGGATCGATGATCGGACGGGAACTACGGTCAATTTTGCCTCTCTTCGTCCTCTGTTCCTCTGAGTCTGTTTTAATAACCTTCAAGTCACACCCTTTGAACGCCAAGCAGACTTCCACTGACCTTTTCCTTTCACCACAGTATGCAGTCCAGGTTGGCTGGCACCTGCCGAGTACACCCGAGCACAACGGGCTATTAATTGCTTCTACGGTTTAACTCGTTGGTACTGTAATACGCCCGCAGCCCGCAGCCAGTTTAAGTTCGTTCCTAGCCCTCATTCAATATATTGTTATCCTTCTGCATTGCGACCACTTCTCCTTCGAGTCTGTTTTCTTCCCGCTCTTCATTTGATATTCAAACCCTCAATACTCACGGCATTTCCAGACTACTATACGTTGGTTCGTGGCGACGCTCGAACACATTCACGAAGCTTGGTTAATTTCGGTCTAATTCTCCGTCCTCAATCTCTACCAGCTCATATAATGCTGTTCCTCCCTGATGAAGTTCTCTACGGCCGTGACTAGTATAATGTGGTCCAGCTCACTTTACGATCTCACCCTACAGGGTAGACTTTTTTCGGATCTGCCGCTCTCGAGCCTCGATTTCGAGCAAGTTTTTCAATTCACTTCAACCGACTCACGGAATTACTGCCTTTGAGATAGCCGCCATTTCCATGCAACACATGTGTGATACAGTCGGCTGCGGTCTTGCACTGACCCTCTGAGTTAGAGAGAAGGTTGGGATCTCTGGTATTGAATTTTCAGCTTCACACACAGCGCATTAACTTCCGCCTCAAACAAATTAATTCCGGGAACACCGATAAGTCAGCAACCTTCCAAGTCTCTGCTCAGACCATCAAATCGTGGGGTTGATTGCGTGGGACGTTGAACTGGGATCGCGGGTACCGAGCTCGAATGTAGAGTTTTGGATGATTGTACAGCTTGTATCCCTGTCGTGCTGGTTGAGTGTGGTTCAAATACGTCTAAAAAAACTGTGGTGGTGTGGATGAAGGGCTCGGCCCCGAATCGAACGGGTAACTCCTGCATACACTTCACATCTCACAGGCTTCATAAGGTGCAGGCACGGACCATCCGCTACCGAGCCGACAGCATGTCTATCTGGAGACTCAATACACCCACTCTCTCAATTGCCTTGCGGTCGATTCAAATTTTAATTCGAAAGCTCACTCACTAAGTTCGCAACTTTGCTGTGATATTCATTTCTGTCGGCTGCCCCGGTGACTGAATGGCGAAAATGATTCTATGCCAGTGGTTCGGACCCGAGTCGATAGACGATGCAAACGCGGACCATCCGCGACCGAGCCGATACCCACTCACTTATCTTCCCCTGTTACCCACTAACTAGCACAGTAAATGCAATCAATACATTATGCCGCCGCTGCAATTTATTTTCGGAGACCGTCAGAAGCTTAAGGCCAGCATGTTTGGTCACTCGGCCCATGGGCGTGTCCGCAACATTGTGCTCTCGTTATGATCGTCTCAACCAGATCACAGGTTACGCAAAGAAGTTGAGGGTGCATCAAAATAATTTTCTCGGTTGCTACACAGCATGGCTGGGTCCCGAGTCGAAGGGGCAATTCCTGCATGAGCATCCATTACATTATCCCAAGTAATGCAGGCGCAGACCCTCTGCTACCGAGCCGATACCCACTGAGTTGCCTTCCCCGCCACTCACCTATTCAACCTGCGTCAGACTGAGTTCAATTTCCTCGAAGAAAATGAAAACCAGATCATTGTTCGTGATTTATGGCTCGGACCCGAGTCGAACGGGCATCCCCTACGGCTCGATTTGTAATCTTTTGAATACCACCAACAGATGGAGCAGGGGCGGACCGTCTGCCACCGAGCCGATACAATTACCCTTTTCACACTCGATATACGATTGCAAGCACCCTTTCAAAATTTCAGACTCTTGGGATTGAGTGCGTGGACGTCGAACGGGGATTCGCTGGTGCCTAGTCGGAATGTAGAGTGTTGACTGATTGTATAGCTTGTATACCTGTCGTAGTGGTTGAGTGTGCTTCAACTGCGTCGCAAAAAAACGATTGGACTGCGGCTGAATGGCTCGGACCCGAGTCGAACGAACGGGTATCTCCTACGGGTTGATTTTCTTTTTTAACTGCGGGCACAGATGGCGCAGAGGCGGAACGTCCGCCACCGAGCCGATACACGCATTTCCGTTTCTCAATGTGTGAGCACTAGATTTTTGCGGGCTGCTGAAAGCGGAGAATTCAACCAATCACGGTTAAAGATCAGCGGCCCAAGTTGAACGGCGATGGGTTCTAGTTTAACGCAGCTGAGGTCCCAACGGTAATTGAACTTTGGGAGAGACTTCCGTCGAAAAAGAATCTGGTGATTGACTCCAGTGGCTCAGGCCCGAATCGAACGGGTAACTCGTGCTTTGATACTAGTAGCGTAACATCTCATGGAAGGCAAGTGTGGACCATCCGCGACCGAGCCGCTGTCCATTTACTTGCCTTCACAGCTACTCACGAATAAACATGCACTCAACACGATGATCCACCCGTTATAAACTTCGTACCACAAATGAACATGCACTCGTATACACACCCAATAAGGCCGCGACCGAGCCGCTGTCCATTTACTTGCCTTCACAGCTACTCACGAATAAACATGCACTCAACACGATGATCCACCCGTTATAAACTTCGTACCACAAACGAACATGCACTCGTATACACACCCAATAAGGCAAAATCTCCCCATATGGGAAAAGGCTATCTGAAAATACACAAGTCAGTTGGAAAATAAAAAGAGTGGAATTCTTGGTCTTTTTGGCTTGTATGAAAAGTGAAGTTGGATGAGCTGAAATCAAGGCACATTTTGGACACCCCAAATTTGTCTTCAAACAAAGAATTTTGAAAGCAGTTCTGAATGGTAAGCATTCAGGAATGCTTTTGGATGCGTTAAAACAAATCCTTTTCAAGATCGCCGCTGAAATATTGCCGCATTAGGGAATATTTCAGCGGCGATCTTGAAAAGGCTTTGTTTCAGCGTGTGGGAAAGCACACCTTAATCTTTGCCTTTCAATGTTGAAATCCTCATTCAGGTGATTATGAAACAAAAGGACAAGGTGAAAGTGGGCTCTGATTTTAGTTCTTTCAGTGCCGCTTTTCACCCCAGCAGACAGAAAGAGAATCTTCGAGACCTTTTTCCACTACTGATTTGACAACTTTTGGAAAGTCTTTTCCCATATGGGGAGATTTTGCCTTATTGGGTGTGATAAACAGGCAACGCGGTAGTACTTGCGGCAATTTTCTGTCACTCGGCCCATGGTCCTGGGTGTGTATGCGATAACCTTGCGCTCTCCTTATGATTCATTGGCTCGACCAGAGAAACGAAGGTGGATAAAAAACAAACTCCTCAGTTCCGCAAGCCATGGCTCGGACCCGAATCGAACGGGTCCGAGCCAAGCCATGGTCGAGCCAATGAATCATCAGGAGAGCGCAAGGTTATCGCAACCCGAATCGAACGGGTAACTCTTGCTTTGGCAACAGGATTTCAGCACCCGAAGAAATGCAGGCGCAGACCCTCTGCTACCGAGCCGAACTTGCCTTGCCCGATACCCACCTATTCAACCTGCGTTAGACTGGGTTTAGTTTATTGGAGAAAAGAAAAGGTTCTAAATGTCCTCACATGGCTCGGGCCCGAGTGGAACGGGCTCAATCTGCTGGTCAGCGCGAATCTTATAACACTAAATAACGCAGTTACGGACCGTCTGCTACCGAGGCGATACGAGTGTTTTCGTTCCTCTCGATATGTGAGCACTGGAATTTTGCGCGCTGCTGAAAACGAATCATCCAATTCTTCGATCGCGTTCAAGCCAACCTGAATGGCGATGGGTCGCAGGGTAACGCAGTCGAGTTTTACTGACTGCCAACAGTAATTAGGCCAGGGGAAAGCAAACCATCGAAAAATAATCTCGTGTCGCTGGCCTCAATCGCTCAGGCCCGAGTCGAACGGGTAACTCTTGCTTTAACCATCTACCGTTCAATGAAAGCAATGCAAGCGCGGACCATTGCTCACTTGCTTACCTTCGCTGTTACCCATCAAGAAAAACATGCACTCAAGACAGGCTGAGTGATTGCCAGTGAATCCATTGTGCCGCCGCAGCACTAGTACTTTATTCGGAGACTGACGGAAGGTCGGCAATGTTACGATGCGGCCCGTGCCGCCCATGGAAATGTATGTGTGCTAAAGTGCAATATTCTACATGCTTATAACGGTGAATCCTTGCGGGAGAGTTCGATTGGAATTGTCTCCGCGTTGACCGAGAAGCCCGAAGTTCAGTTTTCATTTCCTTTGGTTACTAAAAAACGTGCTCATAAACTACTTAACCTCCAACACCGTTCTACGCCCCGCTAAGTCAGACTAAGTGCTACATCCGCTATGTTGAAAACCAGGCCCCATCAACGCTGTCCGGGCCGAGACTCGCTAAGGGAATTCACACATGCTGATTGGCGAAAAAACGTTTTCCTTCCCTCCATCCACCACCGTCGTCGCCAAGCTCCGCCCGCACAGGATGATATCCACAGGCAGAGCGGTATCGCGCGCGTTGTAACCTCGTCAAATGTCAAATGAAACTAATGGCAGCAGCGACCTTGCGCCCTTCCCGCCCGACTCGCCGCCCACGCCCCTCTAATCCACTCTCTCCCTCCCCTGCCTTCTACACCAACAACGTCCAACTCAAACTCAAACGCCAAGCAGAAACCGCGCAAGCACGCCGTGCTACCGTCCACGGTTCCACGGGCTGTGCCCGCCCCGCGTCTTTCGCGTCTTTCGCGTCCTCCGGCGATTTACCCTTTATTTCCACTTCCACTCCATTCCTTCCTTCTGCCCTACTACTCCTTCCCTCCCTTCACCCTTTCCGCATCTTTAAATGCAACGCTAACGCATTATCCCCCCAGTAACCCCTCCTAACAACCCCCACCGCCTGGTTCCACACCCGCCTTCTGGCGCGGCTACCAGCACACTGGCACGCACCTCGGCGCGATGAAAGGGTATTGTGCTGCAGATTGGGTATTGGGTGCAGCGGTGGGCGGTGAGTATAGTGGGACTTCCATTGTCTTTGTTGCAGGTTTTGGGGAGGCTGGGAAGGCTGCGGCGCGCGTTAACGCGCGTTTTTCCTCCGAGATTCTCGGGGCCCGTTCTTTCTTGGTACCTCTTTCGTCGTTCTCGGGCAGTGCGCCGGGCGGGGCGAGGCTCCTGTTTCCCTGGTGCCGTTATTGCGGACGGTGCGGGGAGTGTGGCGGTGTTTTGGACGAAGTTACTCTTTGGCCGTTGTTAGGCACAGACTTGTGCGGGGACAGGTACGCGTTGGCGAACGAGATTCGCCCCCCGCGGGCATCAAACCGCTGCCTGCCCACAAGCATCCTTTGCTTGCGTCCCATCCCTTTGCCTTTATTTTTCCTTCCACTTTTTTACTCCTGCGCTCTGCACGCTCGTGCCTCGCGCGCGCCTCCCGCTTTTAATTCCGCATACGCACGCCGCCGGGCGGGCTGAATCGTATTATCCACTCCCTGTCCCGGGGTCGACGCAGTTTCACTGTACCTACCTTTCGCACGGTCCAGTATCAATGATATCTTCAACGGCTGTTTAATACCTTTTCTTCCACGTAAATGGACCTTGGAGCGTTCAACGAATTGACATTTGAGTACCAGGTCCTCCTCCCCGAAAAATGGCGCTGGGACTACTGGGAGTGCATGGTGTTACGGTTTAGATCGTTAGGTGCATTTTTCTTACTCTTACACTCTTGCTTCTTCTCCGCATTCCTTGAACCCTGGCATCCTTGCTGAACAATGTTGTTTCGTTTCGTTTCGCTTTGCTTTCTCGAAAGGCGCGCATACCTCGTCGTGGCGTGGACTTCGCCCCTGGCCTTTGTGATTCTTCCCTCGGCACGAACGAAGAATTGTAATCGTTCGACCCGGGACAGCGGCGTGGAGCTCACCGTTCGAATCTTTTGCCGCGTTCAAGAACTCTTTCCGGCCATTTATTCGTTGCCTGGAGGGTTACCGGTTGGCGGCGAGGCGAAATGAATTGTTCCGTTTGAGAAGGACAGTAGCT